TTTTTTTTTTTTTTTTTGTGTGTGTGTGTGTGTGTGTTCGATTGTTTGTGTGCAGGTGTACCCGGAGGGCACTCACCTGATGATCCCGTGGTTTGATCGGCCCATCATCTACGACGTGAGGGCGAGACCTCATCTTGTGGACAGCACGTCAGGCAGCAGGGATTTGCAGATGGTGAGTCCAGTTCTCTGCGTTATAGTGGGGGAAGTAGGTATTACCGTCTTCCCCCGAATAGAACATACGGTCAGTATAGCCGTATTTGCCTCACGTTTCAGTCCAGATATGCAGGAAATTGACCGTACCTTCCATTCGGAGGAAGAAGGTAGTTTGAAATACGACGTAGGGACATCCGTTAAAATTGGAACGGTATAGGGAAAGCCCCTGCGAAAGGATGACACTAAACAATCGAATTCACATATGGGAAGTAGGTACCAACTGGCCTAGCTCAGTTTGTACACCCCCCTTGGACTGAACTGTTGAAATACAGACCAGGTGCTGAGTTCGAACTCCAGTGGAAGCCGATGAGTAAAATACTACAATTCTGGATTACCTTGGGGCGGTCAGTTCGATGATGATATCTCAAGGCCGATGCCATTTGAGAGAGAGAGAGAGAGAGAGGGGCGGTCAGTTCGATGATGGATGATGATATCTCAAGGCCGACGCCATTTGAAAGAGAGAGAGAGAGAGAGAGAGAGAGAGAGAGAGAGAGAGAGAGAGAGGGGCGGTCAGTTCGATGATGACATCTCAAGGCCGACGCCATTTGAAAGAGAGAGAGAGAGAGAGAGAGGGGCGGTCAGTTCGATGATGACATCTCAAGGCCGACGCCGTTTGAGAGAGAGAGAGAGAGAGGGGCGGTCAGTTCGATGATGATATCTCAAGGCCGACGCCATTTGAGAGAGAGAGAGAGAGAGAGAGAGAGAGAGAGAGAGAGAGAGAGAGAGAGAGAGAGAGAGAGAAAGAAATATTAGATGTGGAAAGAAGGAAGGGCGCATAAATGGGTTATGTATTTAACTCCGTGATATTGCGAGCGGTAGGGGTAATTATGAATCAACAGTATATGGATGGTTGTCATGTCTTCATTCGAATATGGAAGGTAAGGAGGGGAGATAATGGGATTGTATCTATTTAATAATGACTTCATGACAAACAAGTGGACCCGGCGCAGTGTGGCTGCGGTGAAGGACGATGACAAAAACACCGCAGCCATCAGTTGGATACCATCTTTGCAATGTACCCCTACTGGAAGCTGCCCAACTTTGCAAAATGGCCCGGCAGTTGCCAACTTGTCGTAGGTGCAATTGCAAAAGGCCAAGCGAATTTGCACACGCGCCTGACAGGGGCATAAGACAAACATGTCAGTCGAAAAGGCCATTCCACTGTGTCCATATCTTTTAGGGGCATTTTGACATATATCTCAACTTACGGGGGTATTTGGCAAATTACCACTCTGGCACTCCCTCTCTCTCTCTCTCTCTCTCTCTCTCTCTCTCTCTCTCTCTCTCTCTCTCTCTCTCTCTCTCTCTCTCTCTCTCTCTCTCTCTCTCT